AGTTGGCATATCTTTCAAAGCTTCTTGGTGTTCGGTAGAAGGTAATGAATGCTGTTGATAATTTGGATGCAAATTTAACAATATTCATATTAATTTCACCACCACCCGTGATGATTGAAGGTTTGTGTAATTGATGGTATGGTATTGAGGGACTATAAGTTTTAATTTTTGCCCTTCTAAGTAAGAAATGCTTTGTGACGTTCTTATCAACGGTATTGTGTAAAGTAATTACTTCAGCTCGGATAATAACGTTACTAATTTCCCAACTTGTTGAAGTGTTGCCATCTTGAAAGTAATATCCGTTCTTGTCAGTTTCAGTTGTTCCATTTCCATAAGGGACTACAATAGGTTCATTACCATCACTAACTATTGTAAATTCTAATTCTAAAGGCGCGAAATGAAGAGGAAGGTAATAATTACTATCAAACAACAACCCACAGCAAGGCTTATGCCCCAGTCTCATTTTACCACTAGCACCCTCGATACCACGCAATGAGTGTCTAGTATGTCTAAAATCAACTCTACCCCACTCATTTCTATCCCCGCCAGTGGATACAGTAGCTACACCACCGGCATTAGTGGCTCCATCAGTTGTATCTTGTCTTAAACTATCCAACCCGTTAGCATACTCATGGTAATCATCAGATCTTCTTGTGCATTCAAGCAATCATCCTTCATCATCTGTCCGTCAATCTTATCCATATCCTTTTGCCATCTTTTGCCTAACTCCCTATATTTGCACCTATGCAACTACGAAGCAGCAGCAGCAGCAGCAGCAGCAAGGCAAGCAGGCAAGCAAGCAGGCAAGCAAGCAGGCAAGAAGCAGCAAGAAGGCAAGCAGGCAAGCAGCAACAGCGTTTGCCCCCTTGAAAGAATGATCAAATATAAGTTTTAAAAGTTAACGCAATACAAAACTTAAACTTTTTCCAGGCGCACGGCCCCAAAACAATGAAATCGTTCAATTACTAAAAATTGTGGTGATGCCAAACTTGAACTTTTTCCAGGCGCACGGCCTCCCGATACGACTTTTAGAAGCTGATACGACTTAACCCGAGCGCTTGTATCTTGAACCACATGGTACGAGTACAGTACTACGGAGATGCGTTCCCTCTTTTTTCTTCCGAAGATATCTCCAGAAATCAGTATCTTGGCACCTGTATCCGCTTTCCGCTGACTTCCATGTTGTTCAGCTTGACAATAGCATCTCGGGCTGCCTGAGCCGCAAGAACCGGTCCCTTTTGAGCAAAGCAAGCTTCTCTCAACTCGATTCCAAATAATTTTGACAAAAGAAGTCCCTCGTGCTCACGAAAGAAACCCAGCGTCAAGCAAAGTCCGGGTGATTAGCTGATACAGAAGCAATCAGATACAGTAGCAATGAGTAGCAATCGGTAGCATGTAGTAGCTGTATGTAGCTGTGTAATGGCTGATGTTGTCTGCCCGTGCGGCACCTCTTCAGTTTCAAAGTGGACGAAGCCGTAGCCATACGAATTGCCCAAGGAATCTGCTGCCACCTACGGGGATCTATGTTTCGCAACACATGTAACACATACATAGCACTTCTGAATGCCTTCAAACAAAAAAAAACGCGCTATCATTTTCCCTGAGATTCATGATCTGGAAGAGATGTCTAGTAAAGAATAAAATAACATGCAGCATCTCCGGCCGCACTATCATTTTCATGCACTATCGATCTTGCCCCATCACAGCAGACCAGACTTGGAGATCTTGCCTTGCAGGATCGGATGTCACCAAAAACGCTGAAGGTGTCGTGCAAAGCCTGGAGGTGACTGAAGGTATCAAAATATATATATCAAAATCATGCAAGGAACCCATTCCGGGATCTGTTGTCATATGTCGTGATGTCAGCACACGTAAGATTCATTAAGATTCAGTCTCGATATGTGCCATACTGTACGGATGAAAAGGAATGACGTCGTTTGATCCTGGTTTGCAGTGACTTTCCAAGACATCTTCCATCATCTTCCATCATCTTCATATTCAAAGCATGCCGAAACATGACAAAACAATACTCATCTGGTCTCACAATGCCTCTCCTGATTGTCATATCCGAAGTCCTGTTTAACCTAGGTCCTAGTTGAAGACATGAGTGCGGTGCGCAGCATGGGCCTTGTTGTCAATGTTCTTGTCAAGGTTGCCAACGTACACGTTGCTGTTGCTTGACTGCAGCAGACTGACAAATCTGACAGCTGAAAAAGAAAGGACTGAACCAGCTGCATCGAATCATGAAAATTGAGACAGTGCGCCTTCCTTTGCCCTGTGTCTCGCTGGCCTTCAGACCATCAGGACAAGACTGGATCGCAGGGTTTTCTCGCGTCAATCCAAAGAAGCCGTGCGGCTAACCCATGGAAGCATCAGAGATATCAGAGAGACCAGCCGAAGGAAGAGATAAAAGTTCCATTGCTAAGTAGCGCTAGGTATCAAATCTCCAGTCCAAGTGAAACCTTTCGGAGTCCAATGCACTGCTCATTCAAGCTCCAAAGAGTTGCAATTTAGGCACTCCACATCAAGCGGCAACAGCGGCCATGAATGTTGGTATAGCTCAGTGTGTCGAGAGCCGTCTCTGCATCATTTGCATTGTGGAAATTCACCTTGCAGATCTGCAGTCTGACATGAAACCGAGACAATGAGCACGTGTAAAAATTGTAAAGAAAGAAGTGCTTTTTGGGAACAGGTTGCATCTGGTTGCATCTTTGCGTATGCCAAAAGAATGCCAAAAGGAGTGATTGATATGTGCAATATCTCTGCATTTTCCTCAGATTGTAAACCTGGAGAGCGAAAACGAACACTTGGACGAAACATGACGAAACGTGCATGAACACAGGGAACACTTGGCATTCTGAGCATTCTGAGCGTTCTGACCGTTCTGAGCGTTGGTTCATGATGTTCATGATTTTCCCCTGTGCATCTTAGATCATCAATCTGATGCCTTTTCAATCACTTCGGCCGAGACACGTAGCCATATCCCAATGACTGTTTGTTGATCTTGTCACGGCAAACGCGAATTGATGCCACGGGGCCGATTCTGTTGAACAGCTCATACCTAAGCTGTGCTGTCAGAGTTGTTTGAAATCCAATTTACCGGATCTGATCTTTTGCCATCCACGGGCTAGTCTTGTGACATCAAAATAATATCAAAATCCCCCTAGGAAACCAAATTCAGGAAATAGTTTGCTAATGATGTTTAGATACCTTTGATATGATTTTAAGATATGCTTCTGATACGCTTGGGGTTGTGATTTTCATCTCATGATTTTGTTATGGTTTTGATAGTTTGGGAATGGAGCGGCTTTTTGGTGTTTCCGGTGGGTTGGCTTGGAAAAAGGAAACAGAAACCAGCCCCACGATAGGCTTTTGGTTGGTTTCTCGAAGGATTTTACCGTTTTGATGGGATTTTGATCTGGCTTGATATGGTGTTGGTACGATTTTGATACAACTTTGATATGATTCTGATATTTGTTTTCAATACAGTTCCAAGAAATCCAACAAAACTTTCCCCGTACAAAACCTCAAAGACACAGCCAGCAATCACAGCTTTGACCCACATTGACCCATATCAAAATCATAGCTGAAACCGAAATCACATCAAAATAATGACTGCAAAACAAGGCCACAAACAAATCATAACAATAAAACATGTCTGAATCGCACCGAAATCACCAAAAATAACTAATTTGCAAAAACCCTCCATCCTAGAGGCTGCTGATGTTAAAAGGCTAGTCTTCTCTGAATTAAAATTGTCTTCTTGGATTGTTTACAGCATATCGAGAGCATGCTACAACTGTGATTAAACATGTTTCATGGAGATTTGGCTCAATGTTGAGGACTCTCTTTCACACTTTGTCTGGTTTTGCATCAAGGGGGGCAAATGGAATAGCTCCATTGACGGATTTTTTTGATGGAGTCGAATTGTGATCAAGCTGTCAAAAGGCTGAAACCTTCATAATATTTGGCATCATATCTTATAATATTCTAATATATTCTAATATATTTTAGTAACGTCCGTGGTCCAATTTGGCAAAGTTTGGCCATTTCCCGTGCCGGGGCACAGCATGGCTTCGGTGACATCTGGATGGAGGTCACCTCAAAGCGGAGATCGGAGATGGCTGAAGCAGCTGAAGCATCACAAAATGTCACAAAATCACAAAATGATTTGAAATGTCATTAGACATGTCAGACATGTCAGACATGTCATTTGACATGTCATTTGACATGTATACCTGTATACCATTTCCAGCAATGTCCAATGAAGTCAGAAAATGGGTGTCACAACCGCAATCTTCTTGCTAGCTCAAGCACCCACATAAAGCGAAGCTATTTGCGGAGCTTTGTTTGCCTGCATCGCTATATTATATATCGCTATATGACGAAGCAACGGCGATGTCGATGTCGTTCCAAGCAGCGTCAAGTCATTGCTCGATCCGCGAACAGCGAAAATCACGCTGCTTTGTGAACTGTCGATCTGGCATCACCTCTATGTTTGAGTTTAACACATGGAATGTGGTGTTTTCATGTGTCTTCATGTTAAAAAGAAGTCCGGCATTCAGTTTGTGGTGAGAACGCATTCTGGTGGAGCTCATACTTTCAGCACTGCGCATGAGCTGTTGTTAGTCTGCAAATGGTGCTGAGACATGCTGAAGCAAGATGCTGCAGAAGGTGCTGAGTCTGTGTCTGCGCGGCAACAAATGCCAGACGGCATCTGTCTACAGTCTACAATGCCCCATCAAAGGTCTTCAGTCTTGGTGTCGGTACCTCAAAGTAGTCTCTTGCTCTCTGGTTTGTCCCAATAGGATCCAATAGGTCAATGCGGTGCATGAAAAGTCTGGTCTATCTTATATTGACGACATTTTGAAAATTGTATGCTTTGGGTTCTTGTGAGGCTATACATGCGGTAGGGCTTTCGCATTCTTTCACCTCTCCCTCCAAAAGGCCCTCACTTCACACTTCTCCCACTTCCTTGTCTCTCTTTGCTGTCGAGAGACTTCTCTGGCGTGCCTTGAAGGCCCATCTTTGTGTGGAAGAATCCCTGCATCCAAAATGATGATGATGATGATGATGACGATGACGACGATGATTACAAAGACTTGTCACGCTTCCAGACATGGCCAACTAGACTCCCTCAGCTTTCCGCTCCCCATTGGACTCATTGCTGTTCTTCTACTTTGATCAATTTTGTGCGTTTCACACCGTTTCGCAACATGCCAGGTTGACCACTCGTGACACCACAGACTCTGCGAGACGCGAAAAGACCTCGTCGATTGCGGAGTTGGACCTCGGCATGAAATGCATGAAATGTGATCAAACACCGTAGAAAGTTTCATCACATCTCTGACATCTCTCAAGCGAAACTTGTGCAGTATATCGAAGTTGAGATCTGTGGGCGCCGCTTTGCGTGGTTCTTCATGTCAAAGGGTCTGTACAGTATCCTGCATTCTTTAGCGGACTGTTGGCAACGAGGCCACTCATGGTAACCGAAGCAGCCATCCCAGTCTCCCATCAAAGTCTGAAAAGCCGTGTAATGCTGATGGCTGTGCACACAGAAAGAGAGACCCAGCGACATACATTACATGACCTTTCGGAAGTACCAATCTTCTCTACTGCCAGATTTTGGTTTGTCATTAGGTTTCAACTTTATAACGCCTTGCGTGACAATGTATATATATATATGCGTATATATTATATAATTATATTACTACTGTATGCGGTCAATGTTTTTGATGCTGAACACACTTGCAGGTCGTGCTAAATACGTCTGCAATGTTCTGCATCTCATGGCTTTGTTAGAGACTATATTTGTACATATGTGTACTATATTTGTACTATATTTGTACTATATTCATGATTCATTTCATGACATGTCATGACTATCGGCCTGTGTTCTGGAGGAAGCTCTCGGTTCATCCGTTCGATGGCCGACTCGAAGTGTTTGCTCAAGCGCACCTCGAAGGATTCCACCTGTGTTTTCAGGACATGTAACGGACATCAAAATGGACATCTATAAATCATTGCAATTTCATGTCAAATTCCTGCCAACTGAGTCAACTCCTTCAAAATTGCTTCGAAACTGATCTGGCAGGTTCCACCGCAAGCGCTTTGTAGAATTGATCTCAGCTGTAGTTGTACCTCTTGGAGTTTTTCTCCGAGGTGGTGAAAACTGATGCGCCGTCACTTGGATGCAGTCATTGGCATTCAAGCGCTCGGTCTTCGTTTTTCTCGGTTTTCTGGATTACTTTATCAACAGCCGGCCATTTGGCCATCAACACAGCAAGAATAATATCTATATATATACATATATTAGGAATAAGAAAATTCAGAATAAACAATCAAGAAAATAGTGGCCTGAAGAGTGACACAGCAAACCTTAAGATAATTTCACACCAAGCCTCCAAGCACAGGAAAAGAACATTGCATAACAACTCCTAGGGGTGTCTGGAAATTCAGGTCAGGCGTAGTCGCGGTACATTGTTTCCGCTTTCTTAATCACCTGTCAGACTCTTCTTGATGCAAACATGTACAAACTTGCAAACAACATACATTTGAATCTTCAAAACACATGGAAACCAAAAAGAAGAAAATGAACGGCTGCCCACAGTTGAGTGCCACATGGCTGAAGAACTTATACTGTCACTCAGCTGAGCCTCGTCTTCAACGCCCAACTCCTCCGCCTCCTAAAGACAACGGAAGAAATGAATTAGTTTGGCCTAGAAAACCAATCATATTCTCAAAAAGTCTCAAGCAGCTGGTACTGTATGTTCAGGAAAGATCAAGAACAAGAGCGTAATTTCATTCACACATTTCGGGCATAGGATTCTTCCCTGGACACAAATACATATTCAATCATATACACATGTATTATCCTCTTGACTGTTCCAGACACCATGCACAATCCAATCGCTGTCCTTGAGGTATTGCCGGATCAACTCAAGATCAACGGAGATAACCTTGGTGAAGACGGCGTGCTGCGTAGTGAAGACTACGTGACAGATTTGTACCTCTACATATATATATATATAATAATATATATATATATATACAATATGCTATATTGCACAAACATACATATATATTATATATATATATATAATTATATATATTGTGAATCTGAAATTCCCAAAATCCTTAATTGAGGGTCCCCAACCACTGCAACCTGCGACACCCAGTTTCGCTGTCCACCAATGAAGTCCGCCCTCCCACCCGCTTGAGATGGATCGCACGGAAGGGCGCCAAACCGGAAATCCATGGGATCTCAATGGAAACTGTATGGGTCAAGCAGCACCATGGGTCATGTGGAATGTGGAACATTAACACTCATCAAAAACCAACAACAAAAAAAGAACCAAAACAAACAACCCAAAATTTGACTCATGATTGAACATGTGCTGCCCCATATTCAGTTCCATCGTTTATCCATTTAAGCTGAGCCCTTTTGGTTGCACGGTCTTTCAAGATGGTATTTTCACCAAACAGGGAATACTTCCCAACCATCAATGCCTGTCTGAGGACCTGGCCATCCATTGACTTAGTGAGGCAGTCAGCTAGCATAGCCTTACTATTTACCCATCTCAATCGACAGTTTTCCTGCAACCTTTCTCTTATAAGAAGGCATTCTAAAGTGGTTCTACTTTCGGCACATGCTGGCGTGGATGTCTTTGTAGAGAGGTCATAAACGGATTTGCAGTCAGTTGCAACAACAGACCTAGGGGCCAAACGAAGAACTGCACTCGGTTCAGACCAGTCTATGGCTGGATTTTTCATCCATTCCCAAAACACACGAATCCAGCTCAGCCTGTCCAGAGTAGATCCAAGAGCAACTGCTTCGGCGCTCAACGTGCTTCGCACGACTCGAGGGATCTTTTTTGAAGACCAAGCAATAGGACAAACAACAGTTTTCACATTCTCCTCCAACCTGCCATCTGTGGAAAAGATTATAGTTCCCTGTCGAGTTGATTGTCCCTTTCCAGTCTCAAAGGAAGCATCCGAGAACGTGCAGAACGTTACCTGCTGTTCCTTGATCGGCACGATCATCAAGCTTACAGGATGAGACTTGGCCTCATACAACACTCTATTTGCAGTGATCAAGTGTTCGATCTTGCCTTTGGTAACAGCAGTCTGAAGCTCGCCTACCTTTGCTGCTACGTCAGGCCTGGTGTGTACGCTTGCGTACTGGAGGCTCCCGCAAATTTGTCGTAGTTGCTGCACTTCTACTGAACTCAACGGACTTTGGGGATTCTGTCTCCGACTTCGGGGAATTTCTATGGGGTGGATACGTTGAATATAAGAATCTTGTGTCATCTCAATGGACCCATCATCCCACTGAAAATACCTAACACCACAAAACTCAAACTCCCCCTCATTGTAAGCCCCAAACTCGTACTTCCTACGGAGCCGACCAATGACTTCCCTAAAATATTCATCTCCACCCCCAATTCCGTCGTCGACATGTAAGCCCAAGCATCCTCGGACTTTGGGTTTCCCATGGTGGTCTTTTGTGACCAATGAAAAGACGCATCCATCAAATGGGGACACTACAAAACCCAGACTCTCCAGCGTTTGCTTGAGAGTTCGGTACCACAAAAGAGGGGCATCTGCCCTGACATACGCCCCGCCCAACAGGCCGCACTGCTCATCCTTCTGTAGGCCTATTGCCTGTCGCAATTCCACTGGAGCATGTATCCCAAGCTTGCGTCCATCACCTTGCCCCTTCAGAAAGGCTGTCGCTATGTCAAAGTTAATAAGTCTCCAACCCTCACTGGCTACTTGTTGAAGGACCAACTGCTTCCCATCCTTCGTCAGTGTAGGAGCATCAGCGGAGATGGTTGAAAGCTGAGGATCTTCGAATCCACGGATAACTAATCTTGCTTTAGCTCTTTCTTCCGTGGTTCCTGGAGCAGGTGGTTTCCAAGTAAAGATCCAACGGCATCTCATTATTTGGTTATCATTAAGGGTCCCCTGAGCCAACCTACAAACTGTTTTGTGGTCAACCCATGCCTTGATCTCCTTTTGTTTGGCCTGTTGGAACTTCACTTTTTCCGGCTCCGTCAGAGTGTTCCACTGTATCTCGACCTTTTGTTTTCGAGTGTCAGTGGCCATGAGCAACCATTCTCCTAGTTCGGGGTTCTCACAAACGGAAACATCACAACCAGCATCCAAACCAAGTTCGGGGCCATCACCAAAACCGATCTCCCAAAACCCTTCGTCAACACTAACAACAGTAACATCATCCCCAAACCATGAGTCTTCACTATCATCCGGAACAGGAATTTCATGGGCTTCCTTGTCTTCACCATCAACCATGGGATTCTCAACCACCCCATCCCCTTGAACAGATCCATCAGGGCTTGTAGGAGTATACCCATTTGAAACCAAATCAGGCGGAAACATCTCACCGTCCGGTTGACTGTTGGTGGTGCTCATGGGTACTTCTGGAACAGCTACTTGCGGTGCAGTCTGTTCTGTTTGATCCTGCGCTGGACTTCCGGCACTCAAATCAACAAAATTTCGACACTGAGAGTTGATCTGTGGAACCTCAATTGTGCCTTCCGGTCCGCGTTGGATGGTCCTGAATTCTCGCAAGGAAGCTGGCCGAACCTGTTGTGGGCTCGCTCGGATCAAATATCCTGCATGGCTAATCCAAATTACCTTCTGGCTTTCGTTGACGACAACCTGTCCTGGCCCATACCATCGCCCTCTATCCCCTTTCAAGTTCCCCTTGCTCTGCCTCCAATAAAGTACCCAATCCCCTTTTTCAAACTCAGTGTTATCAATTCTGGGTCTTCTTAAAAGGGCTCTTCGGAGGGCTTGACTGTTGTCGGCCTGAATGAAAGCACGGCGGGCTCTCTCACGCCTGGCCATGTCTTCTCGGAACTGTATGCCATCCGGTGTCTCGGAATCAAGCAATGAATGTGCTGCAGCTTGGCTGTCTGCCATAAGAGATCCGGGGAGTGCTTTTGCCTTTCCCAGAACGGCTTGCTCAGGGCTGAAACCACGGACTTGTCCCAAAGCATTTTTTGCTGAAAACACCTGCCTCAAACAGCGCTTAAAGTCCTCAATCGACTCAATGGGTTGCTCAATGTCCATTGAAGTCAACATCTGTTTCACTATTCGTCCATGGGCCTCTGCACGACCGAGCTGCCAGTGGCTGTCTCCTGCTGACATTGACACCTTGATATTTTCTTTCTGAAGAAAGGTGTGCCACTTGTCATTGACATATTCCCCCGCTGGATCTAGGTACAGAACTTTACAAGGACCAGCCCATTGCATCCAAACATTTTCAAAGGTTGATATTTGTTGGTCTACTGTCCGGCCACTAACTGCCCCAAGATGAAAAAGGGTCGCCTCATCAACAAAATGGAGAAAATGATACGTAACACCCCTAGTACCTTTCCAATAAGCCCCATCACACCCAACCACATCATTGAAGTCTCGTGGTTCATGTATCGTGGCTGGATTGGGCAGTTTTGGCCCTCGACGATTCTCTACACATGCATCACACTGGAAATCTCTGGCAGCGTCGATTACCGATTGATCAGCACCCTGCTCTTTGAGCAGTCGGCAAAGCTTTTCTGGATTTGGGTGACCCAAATTGGAATGTAAACGTTTCAAGTCACTACGCTTCTGGGGATCTAGTGATTGAAATGCCGGACCACTTCTGGGAACTACCTTCGGGGCCCATCCCTCAACCATGTCTTCCTTTACATCCCTTGTTGGGTCTGCTGATGGTGCTGGTAGCAACGCCACTGGGTGGTTGTCCTCCTTGTCATTGGGATCAACGTTTTGAGAAGACAATTCTTCTCGGCCAGTTTCGATTGACTCCAGTGGAGGCAACACATTTTGTACGGAACGGTCAGCTACTGGAACAGCTGAGTGCTGATGGTCAAAAACACCATCTGATTTTTCACCAAACACCGTGACAGAAATCCTTGCTGAGCCAGCTTTCCGAGTCTGCTGGAGCTTTGAAAGACGAACCCAATTTTCTGGGGGGCCCAAATCAACAATTGAACCATCATCCCTTGAAACCAAAATGGTCTTCCTCCATGGCATGTCCTGGTGCTCAGCATGGCTTCCTGGGGTTCGATACTTTTCCGTTCCACGGCACAGCACAACCAGCTTGACTCTAAGTTCAGGAACAAGCATGTGGAAATCCTGACACATTGGGTCCTTTCCATGAATCACAAAATTCCCTACCCTGGGTAATGACTTTGCAACCCGCTTGATGGCATCACCCCACGATGGTGCCTTTCCATACCGAGATGATGGTGGTGATGGACCAGTGTCTAGGTCAGATCCACGGGGTGGCCCTTTAATTCCATGCCGTCGCCGTTTTTGGCACTGGGAATCTTCGGGTGCCGGGTCTGGTGCTTCATGTTTTTCACCAACAGCAAACACATCATCAGGTTCTTGAAACAGTACAACAGGGGGCTCACAAAGAACACATTCCCTCAAAACTTTGTCAGCAACAAAGGACCCAAACGAGGATGTGTATGCGGCTGCGTACGTTGAAACATTCATGTGTTTTCCATCGTGTTTCATGGAACCTTGAATAACCACATGTTCATGGTCTTTGTCACAATACCTCTCATGGAGATGGTGATCAAGGTACCCACTACTGGTATTTACTTTTGTTCGTTTTTGGAGATACAATTGACTTTGAGGCATCTTGAGTTTCCCAACTTTACACATGTCAAACACTGAAGGCAACGTTCCCTCTTTCAAGTCGGCCAATTCAGGTTGTTCCAACATGACTGATTCACTGGGTTGTTCAAGATGCACATGTCTTCGTTTGGAGGTTTGATACAAATAGATTTCATTGCACAACTGCAGGTGATGACGGTTTTCAACCCTTTGTCGAACAATCTTATCATGTAGTTCAAGACTTTTGGACATGTTCAGATTTGAAAACTTTCCCCATAACCGGCATTCTGGTGCAAGCCAAATGTGACGTGGTTCATAGAGGTATATCCACAACCAAAGTTTTTGGACTCCTTCAACTGTTCCTAAATCCACATCATCACAGGTGAAACGCATGGCTCTACCACCCCTTTTGATGATATGGTGAGTAATTTGGGAATTGGGACCACAGTATACTTCAAGTAAGTCCAATGGCCGACTGTGGCTGTGTCTCGAATTGTTAGGTGATACCAGGTTCGGTTGATTCTTCAGGAGAGCATTTCTTTTGGGCAACTTGGACAACCCGTCCTCCACCTCAGCGATTTTGAGAGCCATTTCCTGATGAATCAACTTTTCCTGGTCGGCACTCAATCTTGAAAGTTCAGCGTTGCTATTGATATAATCAACAGCCTGATCAATCTCTTCATCTACTGGGTTTCTCCATCGCCGAGCCCTTGTGTCTCGCGTGCCAGTTCCCGCTGGAGCAAGGCGATATTGACTTTCAGCTGCTGAACTTTCTCTGCATTCGGTTCGGTTGACATTGGAAGATTGGGAGCTTCGCTCCCCGATGCGCACGTGGTCCTCTTCTTTCCGGTCTCGATCTTGGAAGGTTTTACCTCCTTGATCTTGACCCATGCTTGGGACTCGGCATCCGATCTTGCTGGACTCTGATCGTTTTTGATCTGAGTTGGACATAGTTTCACATCGTTTTGATTGAGCATCTCCACAGTGACTGGAATTCCCTGTTCCTGTAGCTTCTGCGACTGGATGTAATCGGCTTGAACTCGAGCCCGACTGTACATCTGGAAACTTTTGACCCACTGTGAAACTGCCTTGCGGTTTCGTAGTTGAAACACATAGTTCTGATCCTTGAAGGCCTCGCTGAAGGTCTTTCCTCTGTGCTTCCCTTCCGGCAACACATATTGACCCCACTCGCGGAGAGTGCCCACTTCCGGTGGATGCTGGAGCACTTCCGCACTGCTTGTCTGTGGATTCTTGGCCATGGTCAGTTCGGGATTGATCTCCGATTGGAGCTTCTGATCGAGATAGCTGGTGTCTATCTGTTCTGTCGGCATGATCTGTGGTGGAACGTGTCGACGATTCGTTCACACTCTGAGTTGGGCAAATGGCTGCGGCATGTTTGCTGTGGTATGATTCATTAACATGACATGGTTCCTCATGGTAATCCAGATTCTGTACAACGGCATTGCCTATGAGAACCCTTGGGTGGTGATTGGACTCATGGGTGGTCATGTGTTCATCATGTTTCATGTCGGTGTCCTTCATGTGGTCCGTCCTATGAGTGGCAACATGGATTTCATCCTCCTGTTTGGATCCCTGTTTTCCAAGTTCAAGTATCTTCCCGAAATCCACACTCATAAGGTTCTTTCGACAAGACTTTAGGGGTACCCCATCATCACTCCCTTTAAACCATAACATTCCCCCATCAACATCAACAACGGCCTTCAGAGACCTCAACACTGAATTGGACAAAAGGAATGGTGTTTGACCCGGAACCACCTCAACTCTGATCCAACCGCCAGTTTTCCGTGGAAAGAACGCTGCTGAAGTGCTCTGGAGAGTGCCTGCATTGCCAAATCGAAAAACGACTTTAGAGGGGGCCACTTTCACCTTTCCAGCCAGGCCACATGAATCAATAAGCCCCTTTAGGCGACTCGACCCAATAACTGCCCGACTAGCCCCAGTATCAATGATGGCTTCATTGCACTCTTCCTCAAGTTGGAAAACTGTCTCTACACCATGACCCAGGTTTGTCTGGGTCTCGGTGCTCGGGTGGGATTCTCTCAGAGCTGCATTCCCTCTCATTAGGCATGGTCTCGGATTCGAGTTGACCACCGGTGATTCACGCATTTTCCTCGAGCATTGTTGCAAACGATTACACAAATTTGTTGCAAACTTTGGACCATTAAAATCACCTTCATCACTCATAAAGATTTCATGGCTATTTGCCTCATGAAATGTGAATGAAGTTTCAAACAATTTTGGAGCATGTTGATTATCCTCAACACCCAGTGTCTTTTGGGGAGGAATAAAAACTTGACAGCTGACTTTAGCCACTGTTGTGTCCTCTTCCCAGTCCTTTGCCTCAGGCGGTATCTCGTCCACAACCTCCATCACCTTGTCATCTTCATCCAAAAAGCCTAAGTGCACTTCGTTGGTTGGCGGCTGCTCTGTCTTTCGGTTTTCGGCTCGTTGAGGGCATTCTCTCTTCCAGTGACCTGCTGCCCCGCAAATTCTGCACGTCGAATTTGCGATACGATCTGCCAGTGATCGTCTTCGTCCAAAGGGGGTGTTGTTGAAGGAACCTCCATAGTTCCCCCCTTTTCCCTTTTTGCCCCCCCCTTTGTTTTTGAACTTTCCTTTCACTGGCCAGAAGCCTCTGGACCTGGCACGTTCACGAACTCTGGCGCGAGCCTCTTGGTAGCTCACGAAGCATTGGGCCAGTTCCGCATGATCCTGGATGGCTTCCACGATCTGGTCCTCGAAGTCATTGACATAGATGGCATCCTCATCGCCGCTGTCCGCCAACATTTGAAAGATGGCTTCTTCATCACCTTCACCCTCTTGTTCCTGGTAGGTGACCATCACGGACTCATCGTTGTCATCTGCATGGTAGGCATCATACGTCTTTTTTGGCATCAATGTCTTTCCCGATTGCTGCAAGTCCTGGAAAAACTTTGAGCCAAGAAGTCTCATGCTCTTCCTGGCTGTCTCGTATGTGAGGTTTCCTCCATTGTCCAGTATGACCTTCTTCCTGTCCTCAGAGCTCATAGTGGACTGTCGAACCAGTACGTAGGCACGAATGTCCTTGATTGTGATGTCCTTGGCCTCCAAATCCTCGAACGCCAAGTCATGGCGTGCCAGGTAGCTATCGTTGCTTTCGTCGGCCTTTTGCACCACAGTATATAGTGCCCTTTCGAACAACTCATACTTTTCCTCAGTGCTCAGCTTTCCCCACTGGCCTCCCAGACTCTCTATGAGAAACTGGACACCTTGCTTGGTCCTCAACTTGGCTGGATCCAGCCGGGCCACCTTCTGGAATGCTGATCCTTCTATCAGCAATGCGGCCCTCGGGGCCAGGTGCTCGATGTGATCTGCTGGCCAAATGGCGTGCAGAAATCTCATCTTCTGCTCGTAGATTCTGAGGTCCGTCACATTCGGGTCAAACTTTGGAATCTGCCCCCATGGTAGTGACGTCAAGGTGCTCGGGGCTCCGCTCAAAGGATCTCCCGCTTGCGCTGGACCATCAGTCCCCGACATGGCTCGCTTTCAAGGCGAAGTGTGAATCCCCTGTGCTTGCAAGGGAACTGAATTGCCAAAACTTTTCAAGTTACCCTAAACTTGAGGTAATTGCCCAATTTATCCAGCGGCGGGCCAGCCGCTCCGCTACCAATGTGAATCTGAAATTCCCAAAATCCTTAATTGAGGGTCCCCAACCACTGCAACCTGCGACACCCAGTTTCGCTGTCCACCAATGAAGTCCGCCCTCCCACCCGCTTGAGATGGATCGCACGGAAGGGCGCCAAACCGGAAATCCATGGGATCTCAATGGAAACTGTATGGGTCAAGCAGCACCATGGGTCATGTGGAATGTGGAACATTAACAATATATAATATCATATATACATATACATAATGTAGGAATGGTAACATTTGAAAGCGTTCGAGAAGAAAATGCTGACCAAAACAAAGCAGCTCACTCTCCAACAGACTCAACAGACTGATCAAATCCAACAAGTCATCGCTGTCATCTTGGCCCAAGGCAGCGAACTTCAAGTTGTCGATACAGTCGGACTTTCTCTCCTATCAAAATCCAAAGTCAAAGCTTCGCGTATGCTATCCAAAGGTGTTCAATTACAAGGTATCATCTATTTGAATTTTGTGTGCTGTGGCTGTAGCATACTGTTTTTTTCCAATGTTTCTCAATGTCCATCACAAAGGTTCCATCGATGCCTTGAGAAGAAGCTCTTGCCTCCGTTCATCTGCCGCCTGATCGACTCACAACATCAAAACAACCCCATCTGCTTCAACCTGTGCAAGACAATGTCTGCATCATTGCATGCTGTCCTTGTACAGTGCACCCACACTTCCTTGTGCAAGGTCCCAACCTCAGTTCAGTCAAAACAGAAATACACACACTGTAAACAAATAGTGATATATTTAACAAATAATTCTGTATTACCCTTATATACAGCAGATATAGCATCAGGAGACGCCCTTAAAGACCCTCGTCAACACAAAGCAAGTGCCTTGCGTGCTTTAAATTGAAGAAATACGGTTTCAATGTGAAACAGTTGTTTACGCTCATGTGCTTGAGCATCTTAAAATCCTTGCAGCTTCCCTGTCCAAATTCACTCCCTGGGCTTGAAATGCCTTCTGCCGATCGAGATTCTGCGTGTGAAGTACAGATACTGTATCTTACCCTTTGAAACGATATAAATAGTTACATATATATATATACATATATATATACATATAATATATATATACTATATATCATTATAAATCCCTATTGATCTCTATATTCAGGGATTGATGACCATCCCCCAATATGATCAACATGGCTATATCCGCCGACCCCGGCAGACGCAAGGGGGAGTGCGTAAGGGAAAAAGAGTTTATGACACAGCTGCCAGGAAAGAATAATAATAATTCGCTGAGCCTGGCCGATGCAAGGGGGAGCGCGTAAGGGAAGAAGAGGTGCTGCACTGCTACTTTTATACTGCCAGGCAGCAGCAGGCAGCAGCAGGCAGCAGGCAGCAGGTAGCAGCCAGCAGCAGCCAGCAGCAGCCCGCACCAGCCAGCAGCAGCCAGCAGCAGGCAGCAGTACGTGTCTGGCAGGCAGCATCCGGCAGCAGCAACCAGCAGCAGCCGGCGTTAGGCAGCCAGCAGCAGCCAGCAGCAGCCAGCAGCAGCCAGCAACAGCCAGCAGCAGGCAGGAGCAGGCAGCAGCCAGCAGCAGGCAGGAGCGGCAGGCAGCAGCAGGCAGCAGGCAGCAGGACTCTATTTTAATTTTATTTTATGGCAGCAACAGCAACAGCAACAACAACAACAACAACAAGAAGAACAAGAAGTCCTTCACTACCATGGTGTTTTCCCATCCGGCAGCTGTCTTTTGAACAGAAGGAGCAGCAGCAGCAGCAGCAGCAGCAGAAAAAGTAGCTAAAATCATCCTTTTCTATATGGGTTTGATAAGTTACGTTAGGCAGTTTTGGGGTGCAATTTTGATGCTTCTCCGTTCTTCACTGCCATGGTGTTTTCCCATCCGGCAGCTGTCTTTTGAACAGAAGGAGCAGCAGCAGCAGAAGGGAGGCAAAAGTAGCTAAAATCACAATTTTCTATGAGGAAAAAGTAGCTCAAATCTTCATTTTCTATCTTCATTTTCTATGGGTTTCAGCAAGGGGGAGCGCGCCAGGGAATAATACTTTTGACTCTTGTTTCGGACTACTACCGCAGCGGGCGCAGCAGCAGCAACAGCAGGAGAAGTAAAGCTGCCGTTTGAACAGAAGGAGCAGCAGGAGCAGAAGCAGCAGCAGCAGGAGGAGGAAAAAGTTGCTAAACTCATTCTTTTCGATAGGTTTTAGAAGTTACATTAGGCACTTTTTGCGCGCAATTTTGATGCCTTTCCGTCCTTCACTGCCATGGTGTTTTCCCATCCGGGAGCTGCCGTTTGAACAGAAGGAGCAGCAGGAGCAGGAGCAGCAGCAGCAGGAGGAAAAAGTGGCTAAAATAATCCTTTTCTATGGGTTTCAGAAGTTACATTAGGCATTTTTTGGAAAAGGTAGCTAAAGTCAAAAGCAAGAGCAGGGCAGCAGCAGGAGGGAAAAGGTAGCTAAAATCATCCTTTTCTATGGGTTTCAGACGTTACATTAGGCACTTTGTTTGGGCGCAATTTTGCTGCCTTTCCGTCCTTCATTGCCAGGGTGTTTTCCCATCCGGGAGCTGCCATTTGAACAGAATTTTGAACAGAAGGAGCAGCAGGAGCAGAAGCAGCAGCAGCAGGAGGAAAAAATTGCTACAATCATTCTTTTCGATTGGTTTCAAGAGTTACATTAGGCACTTTTTGCGCGCAATTTTGATGCCTTTCCGTCCTTCATTGCCAGGGTGTTTTCCCATCCGGGAGCTGCCATTTGAACAGAAGGAGCAGCAGGAGCAGAAGCAGCAGCAGCAGGAGGAAAAAATTGCTACAATCATTTTTTTCGATTGGTTTCAGAAGTTACATCAAGCACTTTTTGGGCGCATTTTTTCTGCCTTTCCGTCCTTCACTGCCATGGTGTTTTCCCATCCGGGAGCTGCCGTTGGAACAGAAGGAGCACCAGGAGCAGGCGCAGCAGCAGCAGGAGGAGGAAAAAGTGGCTAAAATAATCCTTTTCTATGGGTTTCAGAAGTTACATTAGGCATTTTTTGGAAAAGGTAGCTAAAGTCAAAAGCAAGAGCAGGGCAGCAGCAGGAGGAGGGAAAAGGTAGCTAAAATCATCCTTTTCTATGGGTTTCAGACGTTACATTAGGCACTTTGTTTGGGCGCAATTTTGCTGCCTTTCCGTCCTTCATTGCCAGGGTGTTTTCCCATCCGGGAGCTGCCATTTGAACAGAGGGAGCAGCAGGAGCAGAAGCAGCAGCAGCAGGAGGAAAAAATTGCTACAATCATTCTTTTCGATTGGTTTCAGAAGTTACATGAAGCACTTTTTGGGCGCAATTTTTCTGCCTTTCCGTCCTTCACTGCCATGGTGTTTTCGCATCCGGGAGCTGCCGTTTGAACAGAAGGAGCAGCAGGAGGAGAAGCAGCAGCAGCAGCAGGAGGAAGAAAAAGTTGCTAAAATCATTCTTTTCGATGGGTTTCAGAAGTTACATTAGGCACTTTTTGCGTGCAATTTTGATGCCTTTCCGTCCTTCACTGCCATGGTGTTTTCCCATCCGGGAGCTGCCATTTGAACAGAAGGAGCAGCAGGAGCAGGAGGAGCAGCAGCAGGAGAAGGAAAAAGTTGCTAAAATCATTCTTTTCGATGGGTTTCAGAAGTTACATTAGGCACTTTTTGCGTGCAATTTTGACGGCTTTCCGTCCTTCACTGCCATGGTGTTTTCCCATCCGGGAGCTGCCGTTTGAACAGAAGGAGCAGCAGGAGCAGGAGCAGCAGCAGCAGGAGCAGGAAAAAGTGGCTAAAATCATCGTTTTCTATGAGTTTCAGAAGTTACATTAAGCACTTTTTGGAAAAGGTAGCTAAAGTCAAAAGCAAGAGCAGGGGCGGCAGCAGCAGGAGGAGGAAAAGGTAGCTAAAATCATCCTTTTCTATAGGTTTCAGAAGTTACATTAGGCACTTTTTGGGTGCTATTTCTCTGCCTTTCCATCCTTCACTGCCATGGTGTTTTCCCATCCGGGAGCTGCCGTTTGAACAGAAGGAGCAGCAGGAGCAGAAGCAGCAGCAGCAGGAGGACCAAAAAGTGGCTAAAATAATTCTTTTCGACGGGTTTCAGAAGTTACATTAGGCACTTTTTGCGTGCAATTTTGATGCCTTTCCGTCCTTCACTGCCATGGTGTTTTCCCATCCGGGAGCTGCCGTTTGAACAGAAGGAGCAGCAGGAGGAGGAAAAAGTTGCTAAAATCATCGTTTTCTATGGGTTTCAGAAGTTACATTAGGTACTTTTTGGAAAAGGTAGCTAAAGTCAAAAGCAAGAGCAAGGGCGGCAGCAGCAGCAGAAGGAAAAAGTAGCTAAAATCATCCTTTTATATGGATTTCAGAAGTTACATTAGGCACTTTTGCAATTTTGATGCCTTTCCGTCCCTCGCTGCCATGGTGTTTTCCAGCAGCAACAATAGCGCGGAGGAAAATGTAGCGAAAATCATCCTTTTCTATGGGTTCCAGTTACATTAGGCACTTTTTGGGCGCAATTTCTCTGCCTTTTCGTCCTTCACTGCCATGGTGTTTTCCCATCCGGGAGCTGCCATTTGAACAGAAGGAGCAGCAGGAGCAGGAGGAGCAGCAGCAGGAGAAGGAAAAAGTTGCTAAAATCATCCTTTTCTATGGGTTTCAGACGTTACATTGGCACTTGTCGCGCGCAATTTTGATGCCTTTCCGTCCTTCACTGCCATGGGAGGAAGAAAAAGTTGCTAAAATCATTCTTTCCGATGGGTTTCAGAAGTTACATTAGGCACTTTTTGCGTGCAATTTTGATGCCTTGCCGTCCTTCACTGCCATGGTGTTTTCCCATCCGGGAGCTGCCGTTGGAACAGAAGGAGCAGCAGGAGCAGGCGCAGCAGCAGC